GATTACTACTGCCAGGTCACCCCAGGGGAAAGGGTGCTGCCCCCCATCCTGCCTGCTCCCCCTGGGTGGCTCGGTGGTCACCATCCTCCAGAGGCCATTGGACAGTCAGGTTTGGGTCCTTAGTGATGAGACATGTGGGGCCTCACAAGAACGGGGTGGAGCTGGCCCTTTCTTCCCCTTCCCAACGGGACCCTGAGTCACCGCCCACAAACAGCATTTCTGGCTCCTGATCAAGCTGCTTAACGGCCATGATCCCAAAGACTCAGGGACAAATCTCAGAACCCAGCAGGTTTTGGTAGAAATCCCTCCAAATTTAATTGTTAAAATTTCAGAATTTCAAAATCGTGCGGCCAGTACTGCAGCCATGCGACATCATATGTTATTCATAACCAGCAATAGAAAACAACTTGTCTACTGTTGCCTTTTCAGCAGATCTGAGTGTTGGGGTAAAACCCCAAATAATAATGGTGTGTCTGGTGTCAAAATATCGAATGTAATCAAAGTAGAGAGAGAGGTAATGTGGAAATCATCTGTCCCACAGGTAGGGGGAGGGCGTCGAATGGGGGCATACTGGGGTTTTTGGTGGTGGAGAATGGGCACTGGTGAAGGTATAGGTGTTTCTTTGTATGACCGAGACTTAAACCCGAAAGCTTTGTAACTTCTCTCATGGTGATTCAATAAATAAAATCATAAAAAATGAAAAAAAAAAAGTAAGGTGGAGTTCGTGCCCAATTCAATCGGCTAATCAGGGGCTGAATAAATAGCAGTACTCCAACATAAAAAAAAAAAGAATTTTCTAGGAACGAGAGAGAGAGAGAGAGAGAGAGAGAGAGAGAGAGAGAGAGAGAGAGAACAAAGGGGAATGCCCTGCCAAAGAGGCAAGGTGGGATGGGGGGAATGGGGAGTGGGAGGGATACTGGGATCTGTGGTGGTGGGAAATGGGCACTGGTGGAGGGATGGGTACTCGATCATTGTATAACAGAAACCCAAGCACAAAAATTTGTAAGTCTACAACTGTACCTCATGGTGTTTCACTAATAAAAATTAAAGAAAAATAAGCCCCCATCAGACTAAGAGGATACAAAACTACTAATGTAATGAAACTTGTTTGGCCTGACTCCTCTACAAAAGCATAAGGAGATTCTGAGAGGGCTGGGGTGATGGCTCAAAGGGCTGGAGTGCATGCTCCACATGAGGGAGTTCTGAGTGCTGCCCCAGCACCGCACAGCCCCCCCCCCCCCCCAGCACTGAAGCAGGAGCAGCTCCCAAGTATCACTGGGTGTGGTACAAAAACTAAGAGATTTTGAGAAGAGCTGGGATCTCTAAAAGTCAAGCATCACTAGAGAACTGACTTGTTTGATTACATATATCAAAGGGTCTAAGGAAAATGTTTAGGAGTTCCATGCTGAAATATTTAAGACCTAAGTATCAGTATCTACAACTTACTGTCAATTGGTTGAGTTAAATACACACACACACACACACACACACATTTATATGAAGGTAAACATTGCAAAATATCAGTAACAGTCAAATCAAATAGTAGATGCTAGCTATACTATTAGTTTCTCTCTATATTTAAGCTTTCATTTCAAAGCATTGAAGAGGAAAAAATTTCATGCTAATTTTTTTATTTTTTGGTTTCTGGACCACACCCAGAGATTCCCAGGGCTGACTCCTGATTCTGTGCTCAAGGGAATTACACTGGGTACAGGAATACAACTTTGGTAGACTGCTTTCAGGGCAAGCACACTACCAGCTGCACTCTGGCTCATAAGCATGTTTTCATTCATGATTTCAGGCTTTTTTTTTTTAAGTGTCAGGGATCAAATCCAGGGCTACACATGTGCTAGGCAAGTGCTCTACCACAAAGCTACATTCCCAACCCTAAATCCATAGAACATTTTATTTTTATTGGGGTATAAACTGCACCCCAGGTAATCTCTTTTCTGCTTACTGATCACTACAAGATGGTAAATGTCATCCCAGATAGTAGAGTGGGCGGGGTGCTTGCAGGGAGCCAACCCAAATTTGATCGTGGGCACTGCCAGGAGTGAGTCCTGAGTGCAGAACCAGGAGTAACCCCTGAGTATGGCCAGGAGTGGCCCCAGCCCGGCCCCACCCAAAAGTCATCCCGTTATTTCTTTTCTTGTTGTTATACTGATTACCACAAGATGTCACTCTTTCTACATACAAACCAAAAACCTTGCAAGGGAAATGCTGTTATGGAAACAAAATGGAAAATATGCTTAACTTGCATAATAATCTAGAAAACTTTAGTCCCTTAAGAAAATAAAATTAGATCAATCTTCTTAGTTCAAACACTATTACATAAAAATATATTACAATTTTTAGAACTTTAGGTGAAAAATTCATCTCTAAGACAGTCACCATCTCTAAGATACACAAACCCAGTGAGCTACTTTTGTATCCAGTAAAGTAAAAAAGTAAAGGCCCTCCCGTTGATCATCAATTTGCTCAAGCGGGCCCAGTAAGGTCTCCATTGGAGACTTTGCTGTTACTGTGTCTGGCATATCGAATACGTCACGGGGAGCTTGCCAGGCTCTGCCGTGCGGGCGAGATCCTCGCGGTAGCTTGCCGGGCTCTCCGAGAGGGGCGGAGGAATCGAACTCGGGTCGGCCATGTTGGCTGTGTGCAAGGCAAACGTCCTACCGCTGTGCTATCGCTCCAGCCCTTTGTATCCAGATGCCTGAGAATGTTCTAAATAACACGGGGAGTCAATCTATAGATTAGATGCTGGATCAACGGGCCAGAATCCCAAGTGTCAAAGACATATTTAGGGAGCCTATAAAATGACCTACTCTCTGGAAGAAATAGTTCAAACCTTCCCACCTCTGTCTCTACAACACACGGGGTCAGGGTGGTGCTTCACTTGCCTGTCACTCTCCCATGAGCAAATGTCAGCACTCAGGAGCAATTATCACAGATGTCAGGCCAGGGGACCTTAATGTACTAACAAGCCCTCCTTTTACATTCCTGGACATCACTAAAGTGTATTACAACTCAAAATTTCACATCTGAATAATCTGGATGAAGAACGCTTTTTAAAATTTTTAATGCAATACATAAAAACAATTTCAAACTTACAAAAAAAAAGTAAAATATGTAGGTAGAATAACCATAAGCTATTTACTCAAAATTGCCTACTTAGCAAATCATCCATTTGTTTGACCTTTTACTGTCTTCTATCCCTGCCTGTAGCTTATCTATCCGTCCTGCTTCCTTCCCTCCTGACCCAAATTTTTTCCTGAACCGTCCTAGAATATATGCATAACCTTAATTCCTAAATATGCAGTGTGATTTCTAAGAACAGAAACATCTACTATAAACACAGTATAGGGGATGGAGTGACAGCACAGCAGGTAGGGCATTTGCCTTGCACGCGGCCCGACCCAGGTTCGATCCCCAGCATCCCATATGGTCCCCTGAGCACGGCCAGGAGTAGTTCCTGAGTGCATGAGCCAGGAGTAACCCCTGAGCATCGCCAGGTGTGACCCAAAAAGCAAAAATAAATAAATAAATAAATACACACTGGCAAGCTACCCGTGATGTATTCGATATGCCAAACACAGTAACAACAAAGTCTCTAATGGAGACGTTACTGGGCCCGCTCGAGAAAATCGATGAACAACGGGAGGACAGTGTGGTATAGTTATTTATCAACTTCAGGCAACCATCTACTTTACAATACACAGTGTGCCTCTATCAATGATACAACTATCCAAAGTGTCGCCAAATTTTTCCACTACATTAATTTCCTCATTTACAACATACATTAACATTTTCTAGATATAAATGTATCATGTTTGCAACTTATTACATGTCTAAAGCAAATTATACAAGTTTAAAAAAAATTACTGAACATAAATAATCTTAAAATTCCAGTTTCAATGAAGAGATCATAAAATGTTGCAATACCTCTCTTCACCTCCATGCCTGATGCCATCTCTGCAAGCCCTGATCCATCCCCAAACCCTCTGGCCCAGAAGATTTTCAGGTGAGAAGGGGACCTCTTCCACTTGTCCCCTTCTGTTTCTGCAAGCCCTCCTCCACACCCCAAGCCACACAGCCATATGCCTGCTCTGTTACAGCCAGTCCACACATACGAACATGCTCAGGGTCTCACTCCAGACCTAGACTTCCCGCCGTGAGCCTGCCATTAGCAGAGGCATCCTTGTCCCAGCAGGACAAGCTTCTGTCCCCAGCTTGTCCTGCTACATGTGAAAATTCCTCACAAAGCAGTATACTGGACAGAATTTGATAGTGGCAAGAACAGAAGCCTGGTACAGTGAACAGCGTACCAAATCTCTGCTCAGACTACGTGGAAACTGACATTCATCCTTAATTCCCCCAAAATGTTAAGAATAATGAGCGATAGCACAGCGGGTAGGGCGTTTGCCTTGCACGCAGCCAACATGGCCGACCAGAGTTCGATTCCTCCGCCCCTCTCAGAGAGCCCGGCAAGCTACCGAGAGTATTCGATATGCCAGACACAGTAACAACAAAGTCTCCAATGGAGACGTTACTGGGCCCGCTCGAGCAAATGAAAAACAAGGGAACTCAGCAGTGTCCAAGGGAAACCACAGAACAACAGTCCTCTTGATGTGAACAAATTAAGAACTGGATGAGAAATTTACTCAGCTTGAACAAAAACTGATGTGAAAGTATTAAAGAATTAGTTCAAGTAATTAAAGGAGCTAAGAAATACAGCAGCAAGCCACAACAAAAAATACTGGAAGCTGAAAACCAAATAGATGTGCCTGAGGACAAAACACAGAACTTGAACAAAAAACACAGAATGTCAACAAACAAGCTGATAAGTTGTGGTTCACTCTATTAGAACGTATTTCTGCCAGTCTGCTGTGCCACTCCCCTTGAACTGCCAGCACCGATTATTTTTACTTTGTAACTGAATATGAACTACTCCAACACGTTAAAAGGAAGACAGAAAAGGAAAAATGAGCTCCCTCCCCACTTACTCTCTAAATCAGAAATAATGAGATTGTCATGAAGTTTCACAGCTCGATGCTGTTCTACTTCATCTTCAAGTTCAAAGATGGTTTCCTTCATATCACTTCGTTCTGTCTCTTTTTCTTCCAGTTCTGATCTTAATTTTTCTAAAGTCATATTCAAGTCTTCAATTTGTTTTTTAGCTTCTTCCTGGAAGGCTCGATATTCATCTTCTACCTATATAAACGGATGACGTACATTAGAAAAGTCAGTTGTTCTTAGATCCATTCTGGAACTAAGGTCGATTTTAAAAAGTGAGAGCATAAACTAAAACTGTCAGTGCAACAACTGCTTAACAAGCCTGAAAAAAGTAAGTGCTCGGGGCTGGAGTGATAGCACAGCGGGTAGGGTGTTTGCCTTGCACGCAGCCGACCCGGGTTCGATTCCCAGCATCCCATATGGTCCCCCGAGCACCACCAGGAATAATTCCTGAGTGCACGAGCCAGGAATAACCCCTGTGCATCGCCAGGTGTGAACCCAAAAAGCAAAAAAAAAAAAAAAAAAAAAAAAAAGTAAGTGCTCTACAATAATGCAGGACTTCAGGTAATATACTTGAGTATAATTTGTTGTCTAAATCATAACAGAATTTGCTGCCTAATCATGACATCAATGACTGAAATAATGTGATCATTAAATCACCAGATTATTTATGAGGAAATCTGAGAAATTTCTCCTCCAAAGTTTGGGACAAAGACATAAATTTGATACATCATGAACATGCTCTTCCACCAAAATGGTATCCAATTTGTCATAGTTTCAATATCAAATTAAAAATTTGATATTTGGAACAAATATCAAGTTAAAAATTTGACATTTGAGACAAATATCAAATTAAAAATTTGACATCTGGAACAAATGCCTGGGGCCAGGAGATAGTATAAGGGTGCGGGTGCATGCCTTGGATGCACTAGACCCAGGTTCAATTCCTGGCGGCACACAGTCCTCAGAGCATCACCGGGTGCAGCCGTGCAGGTCCCCAGCACTGACAGTGAGCCCCCAGCAGCTTCGTGTCTTCACCTGGCATGGAACTGTCTGTCCATTTGGTGAGAATTGCTGGTGGAGCCCCAGGAGGGGTTTGGTGGCTTGGAGGCCCACCCAAGTCATCCCCTCCCCCCAAAAAGTGGGGACACATTTTCAAATATTGTCACTGCACGTAGATTAGTTCCCCCAACACACATGCTCTAGTACATAATAAGAAAAATTGTGTCTTTTTGAGTGATCTTAATAAGGAAAATTAGTCTGAATTATTTATATTTTGGCCAAAGACGTACTATTGTTTCTTACTTAAAAAAAAAAGTCACAGCACGGGCTGGAAAGACAGTACAGTTCTTAAGGCGTCTGCCTTGCATTCAGCTCACCCAGATGTATCCAGCACCTTATACGGTCCCCTGAGCACCACCAGGAAGAGTTCCTGAGTGCAGAATCAGGAGTAACCCCTCAGTATCACCAGTTTGGCCCAAAAACAAACAAAAAACAAAACAGAATAACTGCACAGGGGCTAGAGATACAGTTCCCCAGGTGGTCCAACAAGCACTGTCAGGAGTGACCCCTGAGGACAGAATCAGGAACAAGTCTGAACTCTGCCAAGTGTGGCCCCAAACCAAAAACAAATGCTAAGAAAACCTTCCCCAAAACAACAACAGAAAAGATTCAGCCAAGGATATACCACCCAAGTGATGCTACAACTGTGTGACTGGCGGACCCAGCACATTTCACAGTACCTTAGCAATGGCATCCTGCAATCGATTAGCATCATTCCGGGTGTGAGCCAGATCCTCCTGCAGGCTACTAGCCAAAGCCTCTGCTTTTTCTTTGTCCAGCCTGACGCTCTCCAGGAGATCCTGGATATCGGATTTGTCTCCAGAGTTGTGGATGGAATACAGCTCCGCCACTTTCTGCTTTTCATTCTCCAGCTGAGCCTTCAAGCGATTCATTTCTATCTGGTCACTGGCTACAGTGGCCTTGTACTCCTCTAACGTGGCTGCCAAGGCCACTTTGCCCTTCTGCTCAGACTCGATGATGCGCTCCAAGTGGTGATTGCGCTCTTTGAGTGCCCCAATCATTTCCTGAGCTTCCTTATTGTCCTGTTCGGCCATCTTCAAAGTATTGCTTAAATGCTGCTGGACTCCGAGAAGCTGCTCTCGCTCAAAGCGGGCGTTCTCAGCCAGATCCATGTAACGCTGCTCGAGTTCCATGTAGCGCCCGCTTTTCACATCTTCATCTATGACGTAAGAAATGTGATGCTCATCCAGGAGGGAGCGGAAATACTCGATCTGTCGGCTAAAGTGTTCCAACTTATCACTCTGCTGACATAAGGACTCCATCAGAATAACCTTCTCCTCCCCGAGTCTTTCGTTCTCACTATTCAGTTCCTGGGTAATCTGCTGCAGATCCGCCAGCTCCTGCAGCGTTGCCTGAAGCTCCTCACTTGTACTGTGCTGGTTCTCCTCCATCTGGTGTATGCGTTCCGTCAAGCAAGCAACCGACACTTCGCTGGCATTCCCGCTGCTCCCCTTCCGAGAGCGTTCGATGCTCGGGATGCCTTCTGACTCCGAGGACGACGGCGCGTCCAGGGCGTCATCACTCGACGTAAGGGGCTGGTAGACCTCACTGCATTCACTGTCCAGATTGTCCATGGAGTTACTGTGCTGATGGTCCATGAGGGTGTTTTCATCCTGACTCAAGAGATCCTCCACGGAGCCAGGCGCCGAGCCTTCTACGGAAGAAGTCAGAGTCCCTCCACCATCACTCTGGTTGCCAGGCGTGATCTCGGGGCTCAGAGACTGGTAGCCAAACAGCTTTTCAGAATTGTCTAGCCTCTGCTCTAGGGAAAATCCCAGGGCATTCAGCCTGTCCTTTAGCATCCTGTTTTCATTCTTCAGCTGATTGAGCTCTTCGCGGATGGCCGTATTCTGTTCCTGTAACTGCAGTAAAGTGGACTCAACATCAGTAGGCTGGTGCGCAATGATGGCCTCCTTCTCCGATTTCTCATCGCCCTCGGAATGATCCTCATTTATGCCCAGCTGAGCACGCATGTCTCTGAGTTCATTTCTCAAATGCAAAATTTCCACATCTTTAGTTTTGGCCAGTGTGAGGAGATCTTTCACTTTGGCTTCCAAAGCAGCTTTGTCACTGATCTGATTGTCTGACTTGGACTTGCTCATACGAACATCACATTCCGTGGCTGTGTGACTTCGGGAGCGCTTGGTCAATGCCACTTCGTTAGTTCCCTGACCGGCAGAAGGTAGTTTTTTGCTCTGGTTTAGTCGGGTACGTTCACGCAATCTTTCTCTGGTCGAACTGGATTCTTTACTACTGGAAGTGTTCCGCTTAGTTGAAGAACTTGTGCCTACATGTCAAAATAAAGAATTTAGATGAAAATATCAGCAATTTTTAAAATATATCATTTATGTCTCAGATATAGTAAAATTAAGATCCACGATCCACATCTTTATTTAGACTTTAACCCTGACTTAGATGCTGGACACTCTTAAAATTCAGTTTAAAAATTTCTTTTAGGGGGCTGGAGAGATAGCACAGCGAGTAGGGCGTTTGCCTTGCACGCTGCCAACCCGGGTTCGATTCCCAGCATCCCATATGGTCCCCTCAGCACCGCCAGGAGTAATTCCTGAGTGCAGAGCCAGGCGTAAATCCCTGTGCATCGCCGGGTGTAACCCAAAAAAGCAAAGAAAAAAAATTTCTTTTAATTTTTCTTTTTTAAAAAAACCATGTACACTGAATTTAATGTACTCTTTTTTTTTAATGGTGCTAGAACCTTATATGTGCAAGGCAAGTAATCTAACACTGACCTATGGCCCCAGCTGCACGTACACTTCAAAAGAGCAAATCTTATGTAACGTCAAGTATAAGAAGACATAAACATTAACAGGAGCCTTAAATCATGGCTTTAGAAAGGTGGCTCAGTGGTAGGGCACATGCCTGGCATGTGAGAAGCAGTGGTTTGATCCCCATCACTGCCAGAGATTGACCCAGTATCCCGCGTACTCTAGGGACCATGCAGCATCACATCCAGCCCCTGCACTAACATCTGGTCAAGAATCACTGGTGGTGCCCGCAGACTGCCTGAACGCTGCTTGGGAACCCCTCTACCATCAAAAGAGAAAAAAAAAATTTTTTTTTAAAGAAACTACTCAACCCTAATAAAAAGGTGGCCAGCAGGATAATATTTTAGAGAATTAGGACCAGTCAGTTAGGTAGCAAACTAATTATAACAACAAATAGTAGAGAGAGATTACAGGAGATTAAGGAGAGAAAGCCAATCTTCAAATTAAAAAAGTATAAGAAACCAACATTAAAAAAAATGATCAAAACAAATGTTAAGAGACCTGGAGTGATAGGAGGACTAGTAGGACGTGTGCTCTGCATGTGGCTGACCCTGAGTCGATTCCCACCGCTCCGTATGGTGCCCAGGGGCCACCATGACTGATTCCTGGGTGCAGAGCCAAGAGTAAGCCTTGAGCACCATCAGATATGGCAAAAAAATCCATTAAAAAATTAATAAATGGAAGAAAAAAATCATACCACAGAACATCAAACAAATGGTAATAACTACAATATCAGTAAAATATACTCGGGGCCAAGGCAACAGTACCACAGATAAGCACTTGCCTTGCACTTGGCTGAACGGGGTTAAGCAAAAGCCCTAACCCCTTTACGATCTCGTAGACCCAACAAATACTTTGTTTTAGCAACCCCACTGCCCAGCAACACTGGTGACACAGAATTCAGTGCAAGGCCTGGTGACGCTCTGGAGGACGTTAGGTGCTAGGGAGAGACCAGTGGGTGAAGCTGGGCTAAGAGAACGTTCATTACATACTCGAAGGGCTATCAGTCTGCAAGAAGAAAATTTGCTGCAGTTTTTGGGTTTGCTTTCATTCTTTATTACAAACTCATGATTTTAATGCGTTGTCTTCTTTCTTGCCTACTACAAGAAGCAAATTAAGATAGCAGAGTCTTAGGATTGCAGGATCAGTTAATGTGTGGATTCCATCAGATCCGAAAACAAAAAACCTTTCAAGAGTAAGAATGAATGAATGACTCTAAGTTTGGGCGCCAAAGGCACTAACACCACAGACAGAGATGACCAAGAAGATGTACCACCTGATGAATAACCACCAAGATAGGAAGGGTTTTAGTTGGGGGAGAAACCTGAATCTGTCCCAGCAAGATTCTCTATCCAATGACATCTATTTTAAACAAGCAGAAAGAACAAAAGAACATGGTCATGGATGGCATGGGAACTCCACAGGTCAAACAACAGACTCTACAAAAAATCAAATTAAAAAAAAAAAAGTGGGCGAGGAAGAAATGAAGACCCATATATTTTAAAAACACTTTAAATATATCACCTGTATATGTTAGAGAGACCTTAAGTGACTCCTGATCCAAATTGACATTAAATATTTAAACATAAAATTAATGAGACAACTTAAATATTGACTGAATAATTTATGATACAAACAATAAGTGTCATTAATTAAAGTGATAATATTGTGATTATGTATTTTTTTAAACCCTTATTTTTCAAGTATAATGAAATATTTGTGGATGCAACTGCATAATGTCTGGAGTTCCTGATAATAAGCTGGGGGAAAGGTGGGAGTTAAGAGCTGACTGGCCCTCAGCTGTGGCCAGCAGCTAATAACAGTGATAAGCACATGGAGCTGGAATACCAGCTGGCCTGCTCTTGTCCATTTGACATTTCCTATAACGACATGGAACCTCCTAAACACCACTTCAGGTGACCTATATTTTAATCTTATAGCTGAATACCGGGGCTGGAGCGATAGCACAGTGGGGAGGGTGTTTGCTTTGCTGTGGATGACCCGGCCGACCCGAGTTCCATTCCTCCGCCCCTCTCGGAGAGCCTGGCAAGCTACCGAGAATATCCTGCCGACACGGCGATATGCCAAACACAGTAACAACAAAGTCTCACAATGGAGACATTACTGGGCCCCCTCGAGCAAACTGATGAACAACGGGAGGAGAATGCTCCTGAATACCCCCCATACCTGTGCCAATCTTGGACTTGTTCTCTACTGTGGTCATGGCAGGGGCGGACGCTGAAGATGCTGCAGGTGGGCAGGTGCTCTTCTTTCCTTTTACACCATTAGTTACTGACACCCCTCCAGCCATTCCAGCTAGAAGGTCATCGCTGCTCTTGGTCTAGAAATAAAACAAAAATAAATCAACTAGATAAAGCAGGATTAAGCAACAACTAGAGACCATGCAAAGCTCCAGACTTGTGTGGAGTTCAAGAGACCTACAACAATTTTCTGAGTTTTCAGCAAAATATAATGTGCTACGACCTCCGGGTACTCTTGGAGGGGTGGGCCAGCTCCTGCCCAAACAAAGCCCCGGCAGCCGCTCCCACACCCCAAAGCCAACACTTTGCCTTCGGCTGGATCCCACCACCTCAGGACTGAGCACCACAGAAACCTAATCTGCCAAATACTTCGGGTACCTGGGTCTTTGTGGCTGAAAACTCCAGGCCTTCTTGAAGTCAGGATGGGTGACCTCCCCGTGCTCCCTCTGCTTCCAGAAGACCTGGTGACCAGACCACATCCCCCAAGTGCCACCATGAACACTCAACTACCGGCCTTGTTCCGGAGGGACCGCCCTTTTAAGTATTCTGGATTTCCTGAAGTGATATCTTCGAAATCTACAACACGTTCTTCCCAGTAGTAGTAGCCAGATTGGACAAGAATGTGGCACAGAAGCCAACCAATCTCAAATAACAGAAGCATGAACTCAGAAGGCTTACTCTGGAGTAACAGCTCAGTAAACCCTTAGACAAGGACTTAATGTCCTCACGGCAGTGATATAATGATTTTCACAAATTTTCTTCCATGGAATATTTTTGATCATTCACTAGTCATTTAATGGTAACAAGTGATCTAAAATAAATTATGGTGGGCCTGCTGGGAGACAGGCTCCAGGAGTGGTTGGGAAAATGGAAACAATGGTGGAGGGAAAGTCACAGTGGTGGCGGGACTGATGCGGAATATTGGACTCTTGTAACAAATCTTTGCAAACCATGATGTGTAAAGAGAGTGGGAGAAAAAAATCCAATGTGTAGCAGAAATAAAACCTCTTTATTGGTTCATAAACAATCAAACATTTCTGTTTGTCTACTGTTTGCAGTGCTGGGAACTGGACCCAGGTCTTATTTGCACAAGCATGCACTTAGCCACTGAGTCACATTCTCAACCTCATATACTTCTTTATAAATTATAAAATCATGTACTCAAAAATTTATGAAAGTTGGTTGTGTGCTTACACATGTCAGACTCAATGTGGGACCAGAAAAAATTAAGACAGTCATCCATGTTACAATTTCATCTGAATTGTGACTTAGCTATACAAGTACTAGTGATATAAATCAATTGTAAAAGTCAACTTTTAAATAAAAGTTCTAAAAATAAAAAACCCTTACAGTTCTCCTGTCAACCTGTCCCTCGTACATTAGTAACATTCAAAAAAAGCAGAAAATATCATCTTATAATTCCTAGAAATATCACTGAATCAGAAACAGTCCTTTTTGGGGCTGGAGTGATCTTACAGCAGGTAGGGCGCTTGTCTTGCACATGGTCAACCTGAGTCCGATCCTCTGAGTTCAACTGAGAACACCAGGAGTGATTCCTGAGTGAAGTGCCAGGAGTAAGCTCTGAGGACCACCAGGTAGAGCCAAACTGCGCCCCCTCTCACCAGAAAAAAAGAAAGAATCCCACTGCCCTAAGTGCTTCAACAATGAAGTCACAATTTAAAATAATGTTCTGAAATTTTCTTTATCTTACTTAATCTTTAACAGGCTAATACCAAAATTGAAAGAATTTTTTTCCAAAGATCTAGATAATATATAAATTTAAAAACTATACAGACTTTATAGTTAATCAGTTTGAATGATCACGTAATACAATTTTGTAATATTTACATTTTGTAAAGATGATTTTAAAATGAGCTTTTGAAAAAGGAAATAAGCACTCTGGTTAATTAGACTGGGTGTAAAATTCTTAGTTAAGGAACACAGTGAAGGGGCCAGAGTGATCATAGTCGGAGTGCACTAGTCCTGCATGTGGCCTGCGCAGGTTCAATCCTCAGAACCCCAATGGTCCCCCACCTCTCCCAGGAGTGATCCCTGAGCACGCCTGGGTGTGATCTCATAACACAAAACAAACAAAAAGGAATCCATTTCTACAAATTAAAATGGCTCATAAATAATCTCTAAAGTCTCTTCCTGTTATAAATGTGACTCCTCCACAAGTAATTCTGTTCTCATCTTTCAGTTATGAAAGTTGAAACACAGAACTATTAGCTAGGTCAAATCTGTACACTAGAAACAAGACAAGAAAGATTAATGTTCAAACAAATTAAACTTTTAAATAGAGTTGTCACACTGGAAAAATCAGACAAGGAAGAAAGCAAGGGCATCTTGCACTTAGCATTACCGACTGCTCTTATTCTGTGGTGACAGTGGACAGTCACAGTGCCAAAAGTGTAAGCATTAATGCTACCGCACTTCCTCAATAACAAAATTATGAAAGAAAATGTACCTGAAAATGTGTCTGACTGCCCAGTTCTCCCCAGAAAAGAAGAATAAAAAAATTTCTTTATTTTTTCCAATAGGAGCCACACACAACAGTGGGTGTGTGCCGGTCGTCACCCCTGCCACTGAAGGTGCTCAGTGACCCAAGTGCTGGCAAGGATCAAACCGGGAGCCTTGCACATGCTCCCCACGTTCTCTTGTTCTCTACCACTTGAGTACTCGCCCTAGTCCAATTTCTCTTAATAAAACTGGTCTTCAACTATGGTGTCAAAAAAAAAAATCCAAACTTATACCCCCTACCCCCTTCTTATCAATCTGCCCCTCTGCTGTTAGTAAATAAATACAACATATGTTCACATTTCTCAAGTCAATTTTTGTGTTGGTACTAAAAGTCAAAATGATCTTTGAACTAATTTTTATTTCCCCATAGTTATTTTTCCCGTTCATAATAATTATATCTAAAATCACCTTAATTACTCAAGTGGAAGTGACTTGTCATATTGCTCTTCTTACAATTTATCTTTAAGCAGACATCACAGCACAAAATCAAAACCTCTGCAACTATCATTAACTGTAAGAATGCAGTCCTAGCACATAGAGTCCAGGAAAAAAAAAACACCCGGATATTAATGACACTTGATTTATGACTAGAGAAACAGTATAGAAAGGTATTTAATAAATGGTGCTAGGCTAGTGATACATCCACTAAGGAAAAAGAAATAAATAACCTGATTTTTGTGATGATCACCGTAACAAAAATAAAGACGGCTGAATAGCGGAGCCCAAGTCTCAGTCGGGGAAGGCCCTGGTCTTAGTTTCTGATGCTGTAAGGAAAGATCAAATATACTTAAAGCGCATGACCCTGGGTGAGTGTACCCGTGAGCAGGGCAGGAAGGCCTCTGAGCACTGCAATAGCAGGTGTGTGAGTGCCATAGCTGAGGATGGTGGTCAGTGAGGACACGTGCAAACACACCGCAGCCGGACGTGGCCCCCAGGCAGCCAGCACCAGAGTCCTGCAGCATCTGACCTCCCAGCCATTGCAACATCAACATACACAAAGGCAAGGGAGACATTAAAAGAAAGAAAAATGTTTATGAGCTACTGGGAGAATGTGCAGTAGCTCATAAAGAACTGCTATCACTGAAGCATAAAAAACTCTTTAAAATCAAGGAGAAAGGGGCTGGAGCTACGTACAGCAGGTAGGGCATTGGCCTTGAACGCGATCAGTGCAGGTTCTATCCCCGGCATCCCATATGATCCTCTGAGCACCACCAGGAATGATTCCTGAGCATGGAGCCAGGAATAAAACCCTGAGCACCGCTGGGTATGACCCTCCCCCCCCCAAAAAAAGGAAGAAAAAAGCAAGGGAAGATATCTCAAATGGCTGGGGAACATGCTTTGCCCACCAGTATTCTTGGTCCAATTCCCCGCACTGCATGGTACCCTGAGCAGAGAGTCAGGAGTAATCCCTGAGCACAGTGGGGTGTGGGGGAAATTTTCTAAAAATATATATATAAAGGGCCAGATTATGGGCAAAAGAACAAGTTTTGAACACAGGATGCCTAGGTCTGATCCCGGCACTGCACAGTCCCCTGAATATCACCAGGACCCAACTCCCAAAGTCTAAGCTAGGAGTTGCCTCTGAATACTGCTGAATTTGACCCAAAATTTAAAACATATACAAATAAAACAGATACAAATGTGTGGATGTCCAGATAAGTGTGTGTGTGTGTGTGTGTGTGTGTGTGTGCGTGCGCGCGTGTGCATTATCTAAACAATCAAAATTCAAATGTTTCTTGCAAACCACAACACCCAATAGGAGAGAGAGAACAAAAGGGAATGCCCTGCCAGAGAGGGGGGAAATGGGCACTGGTGGAGGGATGGGTATTTGATCATTGTATAACTGAAACCCAAGCACAAAAATTTGTAAGTCTGCAACTGTACTTTATGGTGTCTCACTAATGAAAATTTTAAAAAACTAAAAAAAAATCAAATGCTTCATTCCCTTACTTAATAAGTAATGGCCCATCACTGTCGTAAGAACTCAAGCTGAAAGAGGAGACTAAATGCAGAGAAGCATAGCGAAATCATGAAAGTAACATACAAATTTGTGTCATAGCTAATCTGAGTTTTGTTTGTTTGCTGGGGAGGGGGTTCATTCCTATTTCTTTCTTTCCCCTTCTAAGTCCCCTTACTTCAGTGACTCTCCTAAGTAAAAGCATTTGCTGGAATGTAGTTCAGGTAAAGCGTTCCCCAAATACACACACACACACACACACACGCGCACACGCACACGCACACGCACACGCACACACGCACAAACACACACCCTACTTAAATAAACCAGCTAACACAGCGAAGCCAAAGCCACGGAACACTGGCACATGCACAGACAGGAAGGTATGCGACAGGCAGAGTTTTGTTTGGTACTCACTATTCAAGACCAATCACCAGCATCTCCAGATCTGCCTGCCTGCTCAATCCACACTCCAAAGTCACTGTCTGGCTGTGAGGAGAGGTAAAGGGAGGAAGGAGGCAGAGGACGTCCAATGCCAGAGTCTCAACCTGTTCTTCCAGTCAAGTCAAGAACAGGTCATGCAGTCACAGAGGTGCTTCACTCCAAAGGCAGCCGCAGACTGAGCAACCAGTCAGGTCAGAAAATGCTGGCTACCTTACAAGAAAGAATGGTAGCACTGCCACCAAGGAAATAATCCACAGTATTGATTCAGATTAACGGAAGTAGGGCAAAGGTCTATTCCTGACCCCATCCTCAGACACAGGATGACACCCAGTAACGCATCAGAAAAAAATCTTCTGACACCTCCAAACCCAAGGAGTAAGTATATGCTAATTTTTAACAACTCTGGACCAATAAAGCCAGCATTTCTTGCTAGATCTTTCAACACAAAGAAGGAAGTCCTTCAATTATCTTCGAGGTGTTTCTTAAAATAACTCAGTAATGACCTAGCAAAGCCCCGAAAGGACAAAAGTAGTTTTTTTTTCTTTTCTTCTTTTTTTTGGGGGGGGAGGAGCACTGCTCCAGGAGGGGCCTAAGACCTGGGAACCACTCCTAGTGATGGTGGGCCCAAGAATGAGGATTCTGCTGGGGACCACGTGTACCAACCTAAGCAGCACTTGGGAGCCCCCCAAGAGCCACAATGCTTTGCCTAGGGACCTTGAGGACTACACTGGGAGGTGACTAGAGATGAGAGGCGGGGAAGGGTGGCATATGGTGCCACCGATTGAACCCATACAAAACAGGAGCCTTTCGCCCCCAAGGCTATTATCCCCCAAGCCCTAAAGAAAGGCTTTTGAATGAAATCATGTCTGGGGGAGCTGTCTCTGCCATGGGCTGGGAGAAACTCTCTCTCAATTATAATCATAGTCAAGTTTTATGTTTTTTTTTTTCTAATTCACAACATCCCTAACACAAACAAGCGAAGAACAACCAAATAAATTCTGGACTTAGAAAGTTGTAGGAAGACTGCATGGCTCTCTGTCCAATGAATGTCTGAGACAAGAGCAGCAGAGAAACGGGTTTGGAATCCTCCTGTCCCTGGGCTGGCCCCCAACAAAGCAGACACTAAGACCCACAGGAAGATGGTTATTTTCAGGAAACAGTCCTGGATTGGAGAGGTTTCTAGAACTAATCATTAAAAATGCCACTACCCATCACTTACCATGCACTTGCAGTTCCAGGCCCTGTACTAAGTGATTTTACAGATTCTCATTTCTGAGTCTGGGTCAGCCTGCTCCTTAGGCCCGTGATTTAAAGAACTGCTAAAGTCACAAGGACTAAAGCAGTGTCTATAGGAACGTAAAGAAAACGAACTACTTTCACTAAATAATTATCAGCCAATTTTGACTACGATTAATACGAGGCTAACTGTCAAAGAATGAACAGCTCGTGGTATATGAGGAGGTGGGTGGCAATGAAAGTTCCCATCCAAGGGTTTCAAGAATGTTACTGCTGGTCGTCATTTAAGACCCTGACCACATATTCTCTCCATGAAACTCACTCAGGCTAGACACAGTATTTCCTTCCCTACGACCATTTACACAGCTTTCCTGCTCTCCCAGCACGTCTGACTTTCCACCTATGTCTGACTTATTCACGATCTGATGTGACTTTCTCCAGTCCACAAACTCCCTGAGTGCGGACTCCAGCTCTCAGAAGCACCGAGTGCATACGACAGGAGCCCTGAAACATGTTTCCACACATAAGCCCGCTATTGGCTTCACTCACGAAGCAACAGCAAACAGACCAAGGCAGTCCACACTGTGCGCTCCTTCAAAGGTTCTGCTCCCAGCTGAGTGCAATCCCTAAACACGGCTTAGTCAAAGATCATTCAAAGATCCCCCTTCCTAAAAGGCATCCCCCAGGCACACCTCGCCCTTCCAGTACCTTCGACAATGCTGCTGCTGCTCCCGGCTTCACAACTTTGCCTCCGGTAGATGCTGACGAGCTGCTCTCGGGTTTGGCTTTTTCTGCTGCTTGCGGCTTGCTCATCCCAGACACTTTAGGCACCGAGCCAACACTCCTGCTTGCTTTCTTCATTCTGGGCTCTCTCTTCGCGATGCATTTACAATCAAATCTGTGGAAAGAAATGGCATCAGACTGAAAGCAAAACGGGGGGGGGGGGGGGGGGGGGGGAGGAGGACCCTAGGAATTTGCTTTTGAACATATGAAAACTAAGTATGTTGAAAACCAGGTGCTGCGTGGAAAGTAAACTCTGAAAAACTTCTTAAGACTTCTTAATCACAATGCCCATTTGGGATTAGGGTAATACAAACACCAAAAATAAAAAGTCTCTTTTGAATGTAAGGAGGTTTGTGTATGATACTGAGAAACTGCTGTGAGCACCCCCCCCCCCACCCGCCAAAAAAGTGGGTTTAATTTAAAAAGTCTAACTGAAATTTGGAGAAATTCACATTCTGAGTAATTCTTCCAAATGAATGACCTTTCGGAAAAGAAAAGGTGTACTAAAAGTCTTAATGATTATTTTACCTATATTGTGCCAACACTCCAGCTCTATTTTGCCGTGACAGAAGAAAAACTAATCAAGTGGTCTGATGGCAGGAATGGGGACATGGGGTTAAGGCCATGCTCCACCCTCCAAGTGACAAGGCCTTGCACAACAACAAAAACGCTGGTATTAATATCCACTGAAACACGGACTTCAGATTCCCTCTGCTCTGGTCTTCCCTCCCCCAACTGCCAGCTCGCTCATCCCTTGTAGAAAATGCTGTATACAGTAGTGACCAAACGGCCTTTCCGCCCTTAACCCTTTTGCTATCCACTCTCCTATGCCACGTGAGTCATTTTCCCAGAGCAGTCCCTCGAGTTCTCTCTCCACATCTTTTCCTATACTTTCCTACAGGACGCTGAAAATTACAAGGGTAAATTTCATTGCTTCCCACAGCAGACACAAAACAAAACTACACTGAATCTGACCACCAGTAAGTATATGTTTTTCTCACCTGTAAAATGAAGGGACAGATTGGATTTATCACTAATCTGAGGCACTGCAGAAAAAATGAGTTCCTAAGATGTTTCTTTCAACTTTTCAATTTCCGGTTTTAATTCACCTTATTTTACTACACCTTATGTTTTAAATACAGGTAAACGATTCTGTTTCCAGGGGTTTGGGACAGCCGGGTTTTGTTGGAGGCAGTGTTGTAGGAGACCCGACGGCAGTATGTCAAACGCTGCACCATCCTGAAGGCCTCGAAGACACCGTCTCAGAGAGCCCAGCAAGCTACCGAGAGTATTCGATATGCCAGACACAGTAACAACAAAGTCTCCAATGGAGAAGTTACTGGGCCCGCTCGAGCAAATCGACGATCAACAGGAGGGCCTTTACCTTACCTTTACCTTACATTTTAAATAAAAATGGTTCCACCAAAGTTTCCTCTGTTCTCCCAATACCAAGCCTGCACTCCTGTCTACAATTCCACGCAGATCTCTTTCTACCATCCTTGCCTACTCCTCCAACCCCTCTCAAACTGACTTTTTTCTAGACTCATACTATCTAATTTATTTACACTTAGTAGCACATAGCAGCTATCATACTGGACAACAGTCTATCCCTTTTCTGCTATGCCCCGCAGTTAGAGCCTAGTGAGACTAGGAGGGCTGTAATTAAATGACGCACAGAGAGGATATAGAATAAATGAAAAATTAATATTCCAACTTTTTAAAAGCATTACAAAACTGTTCATGATTGAGTTTCAGTCATTCAATGTTCCAATACCCATCCCTCCACCAGTGTAATTTCCCTGGACCAATGTCCCCAGTTTCCTTCCCACTCCCCTAAATCACCCCTCACTCCAGCCTCTATGGCAGGCTCTCTCTCTCTCTCTCTCTCTCTCTCTCGGCATTATGGTTTCTAATACAGATGCTGAAAGATTATCATGTATAATATGCTAAACTTTAACATGCTGGCAAGGGCACTTACCACTGCTGGCTCACATTTGGATGTGGCTTAATTACTATCAGCAGCACCAGTGTCAACAAAAATATAGTAATACAATAAAATCTGCTAGAGAAATAGTGCAAAGGCACTTGGCATGACAAAGTCCCAGTTTTGTATTATCATACAGTGCCCTTTTCACACACTTTCTATCTAAAAAATAACTGTTTCAATTCCAAGTGTCCAACAATCACTTGATCATTAACAGGTAGTCCAAAATATGTTATTTGAGCTTAAAAAGGAATAACATAATGACACACAGTATAACATGGATGAACTTTAAAAACATTATGCCAAATGAAAAATCCAAGAGGGGCTGAGCACATACTCTGCACGCAACAGGCCCAGGTTTGGTCCCCCGCATAGCCTGGTCTCTTGGGCACGCTGGGAACAGTCCCTGAACTTCAAATGGGCAAATATTTTGGCAGATGGATTATAATGCAATAGAGTTATTATTAATATAAATAAATGTAGGCCAGGAAAATAGTTAAAATAAACAGAGCACATTCCTAACATGTGCAAAGTCCCAAGTTCAATCCCTGCATTGCATGGCCTCCCAAGCATGCTGGCTGGCTTCTGGTGACTCCTGGTGCTAATTTATTTTGGGAGTCCCAAAATAAATTAAGAAATGAATAAGGCTATTTTAAAAAAATAGTAAACATCAGACAAAAACATCTAGAAAGTTGACCTTATCCTAAAATATCTTTTTAAGGGGCTGGATCAACAGCACAGGAGGTAGGGTGCTTGGCTTGCACATGGCCAACCCGAGTTCGATTCCCAGCATCCCATATGGTCCCCTGAGCACCGCCAGGGGTAATTCCTGAGCACAGAGCCGGGAGTAACCCCTGTGCATTGCCGGGTGTGACCCAAAAAGAAAAAAAAAAAAAATAAAATATCTTTTTAAATAAAGAGAGGGACTATGGTTTTACAGTCTGTGAACTTTTCAAGGAGACAGCATGACCAGAAGCTTTAAAGATGCTAAGAGACAGCCGGTTCGGAACAAGAGTCTGATTCTCAGCCCTACATCCTACATGCTACCCTGTGCTCCCTCCAGGTCAGCCAGTCATGAGAACTTGCTTAGGGAAGTACAAAACTGGAGTGGGAGGGCACTGAGAAGTGCTAAGGGGAGACTGTCAGCACTGTACTACATGGTCACTCCAGGTGGTACTTGGGAAAGCACGCAGTGCTGCAATGGTATTGCTCCAGCCCCAAGAATGTGAATTTTGGTCTTACTGACCATCTCACAAGACATGAACAAAACACCGCAATTAAACTACCTTACTCAATCCACCACTTCAAGGCTCACCTACTTGTCCTCTGGCCAGTGCTGGTGGTACTTTTTTTTTCTTTTTGGGTCACACCCAGCATTGCACAAGGGTTATTCCTGGCTCATGCACTCAGGAATTACTCCTGGCGGTGCTCGGGGGACCATATGGGATGCTGAGAATCGAACCCAGGTTGGCCACGTGCAATGCAAACGCCCTACTTGCTGTGCTATCGCTCCAGCACTGCTGGTGGCAACTCTTAACCAAAATTTTCTTCATTTAGAAGGCATTAATTAATATCCTATCTAACCTGAAGTTTAATATTTAATCTGTTTTTACAGCAGAAAATTGATTGCTATGTCTAGATCAGTATTATTAACTTTGAGCTATCAAAGTAAAACTCTTAGTGACACTCAATTTATAGATAATTACTCCTTTTTCATTTAAAATAATTATCTGTTAGATACAGGCATACAAAGACTCACAATTCTGCAGATCAGCCTGCACTTAGCACGTTCTGGTGTGGGTGGCGAGAACTCTCCCAATGTCCCAGGACTCGGGGTTCCTCAAGACAGGGTTTACAGCTCCAGGAGCTTTGTCTAAAACTAATTACACAGCCACACAGGAAGCTCCAGTTTCCCTCACATCTACTAGATCATATAATTAAAACCCAGTGAAGAAAACAAATCAAAGACCCATCTCTTGCCTTCAATGTATGATAGATAATATATTATTTTAAAAAATCAAACAGCAGGGACCAGAGAGATACTACAGTGGTTTAGTGTGTCTGTCTGCCTTGCACACGGTTGGCTAACCCAGGTTTGATCCCTGACATCCTATGTGGTCCCCCTAAGCCCTACCAGGAGTGATCTCTGATCCCTGAGTCCTGGGTGTGGCCCCCAAACAAAACCAAAACAAAACCAAAAAGGCAAGTCAGAAATTCTTTTGTTTTTTTGGTCTGTTTGTGTTGTTCTAGGGCCACACCCAGCGATGCTCAAGAGTTACTCCTGGCAGGCTTGGGGACCATACAGGGATGCTGGGGATTGAAACTGGGTCAGCCATTTGCAAGGCAAGCACCTTACCTACTGTAACATCTCTCCGGCCCAAAGCACAGACTCTTTTTTTTTTTCCCTAGTTATTTCATTTATTTTTTTTTATTTTATTTTTTTTATATTTATTGAATCACTGTGGGAAAGGTTACAAAGCTTTCAGGTTTAGGTCTCAGTCATGCAAATATCAAATACATTTCCCTTTACCAATACTTATTTTTTACCATGAAGAACCCCAATAAGGCCCCACCCCCCACCCCTCCCCGTCCCTGTGAGGCAGATGAATTCTAGTTAACACTCTATCTGCTTTGATTAGTTTCATTGTTTCAATAAAAGCTTCACCACTATTATTTAGAGTTTACCCCCCCCCCCCCAAATCAGACATGCTGAAAAAGCACTGTGAAGTGATTTGCTTTCTACAGCTGGGTTCAAGAATTAAATGTTGGTTTTGGATTTCTGCTATTTTACCTATTGACCCTGGAAGTATTTCTACTGAAAGTCAGATAGTTAAGAAATTGGTTTCTGTGTTCTGGAGTCGTGGTCGTGCTGGAGAGCCGCTCGTGGGGGGCAACCGGTGGCCTCGGTAGGGCGTGAAGGGTGGAGCGAAACGCCCCCCTTCCCATGAGGTTTTAGTCGCCCCCACACTCCCGGCTCATACCTGCTGTCCACAAGGCTCCCATGCGGCCGCCATCTTTCTTTCCAGAGAGGAGAGGGCGAATGGGGCAACACCCTTTCCCCTCCGGCAGACTTGATGGCCTGGATTAACGCATAGTCCGTTCACTTTTCTGCTCCAAGCTGCCGGGTTCTA